GATCTTTTCCAGTAGCGTTCAGTCTTTCTCATCAATAATTACTCTGTACATAGCTGTAATCTTGGTGTGCCCGTGAAAGGATGTGAGCTCCTTGTCCTTCTACTCTGCCATCTTTCCACGCTGTCTTGATTACAGTAGCTTTGTAGTAAGTTTTGAAATTTGCAAGTGTGAGTCCTCCAGCTTTGTTGTTGTTTCAAGATCATTTTGGCTATTATGAGTCCTTTGTTGGAGTTTTCAGTATACAAGTCTTGCACTTGTTTTGTTACACTTACTCAGTGTCTTTACTGAATATTTTCAAGTTCACTGATACTTTCTTCTGCCACTTCAAGTCTGTTGTTAAAGTCTGTTAATTCCTTCTAGTCAACTTTTCATCTCAGTTATAGTTTTCAACTACAAATTTGCTGTTTGGTCCTTTTTCTCATTTCTGTTTCTTTACTGATACTCTTTACTTGGTAAGACATCATTCTGATACTTTCCTTTCATCCTTTAAGCATGGCTTCTTCTAGTTTTTTGAGCATATTTATAATAATTCAGCTAAAGGTTTTTCTAGTAAGTCCAAGATCTGGAGTTCCTCTGGGACAGTTTCTACTGACCAAGAGTTTTTTCCTGTACACAGACCATACTTTTGTATTTCTTGTGCGTCTTATAATTTTTATTGAGTATCGAACATTTGAAAAATACAATGTGATCACTCTGCACACCAGATTCCCTTCCCCCCAGGGTTGGCTGTAGTTTCCACTGGTTATTATTGCTTGTTGTTGCTGCTACTGCTGTCTGTTCAGTAAACTTTATGAATTAGTTGTCTGAAGTCAATATTCCTTATCATGTGTGGCCACTGAAGTATAGCTTAGTGGCCAGCTAATGAATAATCAGAGATTTCCTAAATGCCTTGAATCAATAAGTCTCCCAACATTTGCCACATTCCTCTCTGCATGAATTCTGGGGCATGCCATCACTGGTCACATAGGCAGTTTACAACTCTGCCTTAGCCTACATTTTTTTACGTGCATAGCTCCGCAAGGTCAGCCAGAGATGAGACATAAGTGCTTCTCAGGTCTTTTCTGGGCATGTGTAGAGCCCCGTACATGCACATGGCCTTTCAGATTCCCAGGAATTTGTCAGAGCATTCCAAACCTCCCAACCAAGATCTGTTTCCCCAGTGTTTCCTTTTACATTTTTTGTTAGTCCCAGTTGCAACCACTGCTTCAGGCAGATGCACTGTTAAAAACTCCTCACTGATTATTTTCAACAAATACCCTAGCAATAAGTCTGTTTGCAAAGAACAAGTTCTGAAAGCAATTTGTGGACAGGTCACATAGTGACAATTGTCTGGAAATGAGGCTTCGGGGCGAGCTCCAAACCCATTCTGTCCCTTTCCTTTTGGCTGCTACTTTGCTGGTCTTCATGGCTACCAGAGTTGCAAGGTTGTTGCTTCCTAAAGCTGCTTGAAGAGCTGGGGTGACAGGGATGGGGACAGGGCAAGTTAGAACGTCACGATGCCCACTGTGCTCGGTAAGATCCAGCAGTTTTTCTTAAACAAACATTTTTCTTCAGAGGTCCTCACTTCCTATTCCGTAAATACTTCTCTTGAAGAAACATGCATAAATACCCTTTTGATTCAATTCTACGTGTTTTTGTTTTCTTTCTATTCAGAAAATAGAATACTTCTTTCCTCTTTCCTCCTTCAGTGAGTGGATTAAAATCACAGAAGAGATATGAGAAAATACACTTTCTGATTTTTTCAACTAGTTTCTTTGTGTTATGGTGTTTATAGTGAAAAGTGTCAGGCAGGAGCAAGATGGACCAAAGTCATTTCTTTCCAAGGAAATAAATATCAATCCAGAACCACAATCTTTCCAGTTTGGTGCTAGTCACAAAATGAACCAGGTTAGGGAACATGTTTGATAAAGAAGAACTGGAAAAGGATGTATAATGTTCCATGAGAACAAGGGCTTTTATGCCTGAGTTTCCCACAGGGAACAGAGTGGAGATTCTAAGCAGGCCAGGTATGAGATGATTACTCAACTCTGGATTTCACTTTGCCGGCATTCACCCTTCTCATGGCTTTCTTCACATACCAAATGCTGAGCTGACGGAGATGCTAATAAGTCCATGACCAGTACATTCCCCCCCGTCCTGGGCCAATCTGGAACTGATAAAGGATCATGGTGGCAGATACTGGGAGATTCATTCCTAGTGATAACTTAGGCCAAATTCCAGAAGCCAGTTCATTTTAGGGAGGAGTGCAAGGGAGATTTGCCTGTATGATGTCACCCAGAAGATCCAGCCCAGAGCATATAAACAGGTGAGCTGTAGACCTTACCCAGTCCCAGGTCCAGCAGTTTCCAAACAGACCAAGACCATGGCAGTCCTTGGTTCCCCACTGCTGCCCCTGGTGCTGTCTCTGTGCCTCGGACTGCTGGTTCCTTCGGCCAAGTGTCAGTATCCTATCGGCAAATGCATAACACTGAGTAACATCATCGCTGCCACTGACGGGGGAGTCCAGGCCTTCCCAAAGAGCTATAAAAGCAACACAATGTACACAGGTGAGTAGAAGCCATCTTCTCTGCTGTCCTTGGTTCTCTGAGGTGAGGTAGCCAGAATTCTGGAACGTATCCCCTTCCATCGCTGCTTTCAACTACACAAGCAAAGCACGTGTTTTTGACTTGGATGGGACATAGAAACGGGGAGACTGAGAACATGGAAGCGAATGGATGGGATGGGGCGGCCTCTGCAAGTTCCCTGTGTGACCTTGAGTATGTCCCAGATCTCAGTGTAGCCGATTCCGTGTGAGGGCACAACTGCGGCAAGGTGTCTGACTTCAATAAGTTGGGCTTTGTCACAAAAAAACCTTACAACAGCCTGTGTCGGGCAGGGGTGGGGGTCATCTGTGTTATTTTCAGGGATAATAAATGCACCGCAGTTGGTAGCTCTTTCCCATCCACTTGATAGGCAGTGCCACCGTGGATGACTGTATACTGCTCAACGTTAGAAGGCACTGCTCACACTTAGGCTATGGGTGAAAAATCTGGTGAGCTAGACAGGGAGGGAATTACTCTCCCAACGCAAGTATGAGCCTGAAGCTGAGAGAAGTGAAATGACTTTCCTGGGGTCTCACGGCTGGTAAGCAGCAGAGCTGGCCGGATGGCAGATCTTACTCTTTTTGTTCCTAATCCAGTGCTTTTTTGAGGTGCTTAGAAATATTTTATGAATATTCCTTTGGGATCAGTCAAGCCTACATGTCAAGGCAAGTGCTGTCTAATGACTTTCTTAATAACAACAAATTTAATGTGGCTGTTTACAGGGACTAGTGCATTGAGTCCTCCTCGACCTTCAAGGTAGATAATGTTGTCATTCCCAGTTTGTGGATGAGAAAACAGAGGCACAGCTGTTAGTACCTCGCTAGGTCACAGCTACTTGAGTGATGGACCAGGCCCTCAGAGACCCTGCTCGTGGCCAAGACACGATTTGCCTCTCAATTACAGTAATGAGAGCTAAGATTTCTTACTGTGGTGTGGGCTGATCCAAGGGCAAATGCTATTGTCTGCCCCATTTTGCAGGTAAGAACTGAGGCATAGGGAAGTTAAAGTTTTACCCAAGGTCACTAGCAGTTAGCAGGTAATATTGGAACCTAAAACACACCCAAGGTTTGTCCAGCTTTACCCTGCCAGGCTGTCCAGCTTCAGAGCCTACCTTCTCGTCTGCCATATTACCCTGCCCGGCTTAGAACTCGGAGAATTTCAGGATGACATCCACACCCATGCTCTACACACTGCAGGCTTCAGCATAAGCATGGCTATGGCCTGCCTTCGCACAGTCATCCTGGCTTGTCCTGGTTTCCATTTTCTCGTGGGGAGTGTCACTGTGTGTCTCAGTTGGGATGGGGCTCCCTATGACCCACTCCTGCAGACAGCAGGTCTTGTCCTAACCAGGACAGGGAAGATAAACTTGTAATTCAAGATGAGAGGACCATCTTGTATGATCTTGTATACAGGGAAGGACCTGGGTGGTCTGAGGGACTACTGCAAAAGACACCTCAGACCTCTGACTTAAGATAACATATCACTAAGTGATGGATTTTGTGGCTGAAATGGAAGAGAAAGAAACCTATCTTGGGAAGATGTGGGAGGGGGGGCAGTGGAGCCTCTTTACAGTAGGAAGACATGAGAAAGAAGAATCAAAAGCCAACACACCAGACCCCTCGAGGGGACCGTGCTAGATGAGAAGAGAAATCACGCCATTTACACAGGGGTTGATTGCAGCAGAGTTTCAGGAAGGGGAAGGAGGAGAGGAACCATGGTTCCCTGAATGGCTACTATGTGCCATGCACTCCCCAAAACCTCATTTGACTTCATCTCAGCAAGAAATGTGCTAACGCTCTGGGATAAACTGATTTGCTACAGGAATCATTTAGTTGAGACTCAAAATCCTGTATTCTGGGTGATGGGAAGGGCCTGATCCCACACCTGGAATTACACAACAGGCTACATGATTTCCTGGCAGACTGTCATTATCGGACCTGGCTGGGACTTGGACTATTACAGAGACTGAGTAAATGCCCACACAGGCCAACAACTTTCCCTGATTTTAAAGTTGAATTTTTTTTTAATTTCAAGATTTGTGTTAAAATTGGTATAAATGACATATATAAATGGCTTCACAGGTTCTAAGACACAAGTGCAGCTCAGGCAATATCTTAGAACAGGTTCTCTGGGTATGCCTTGGTATCAGTCAAAGAAACTCGTAATGCAGTAGCATTCCTATTACAGCTGTGCCGGGTAAGCGCCTGCCTCCACTGTTTAACTTCCATGGGCCAGAGAAATGTAACTTGCTTGCCCTTCTCCCTGAACCCTCATATTTAAGGCACTAAGCAACATCGGATGCACAACCTTTTTTTCTTTAACATCAACCAATGAATAGTGACTTAGTGCCTTCCAGGTGCCCAGCACTGGGGATAGCCAGATACTGACACACATGAAATGACAGCATATAGTACAAGCCAGAACATAATTGAGTCCTCAACTCAAGTAAACATAAGTAAATGAATAAATGATCCAGGAGTGAGAGGGCAAGAGGGCTGAATTGGCCCAGAGGCGGGATCTTGGAGAGTCAGTGGGGCTGGGATTCGTGATGAGAAGGAAGGAAGGATTCCAGACAGGCACCCGACATGAACAAAGGCCAGGGGCAGGCGAACCAGGTGCGTCTGCAGAACCAGACAAGACGGCCACCCCTAGAGTGGGGGTGCGAAGAGCAGAGTGAGCCGGCTAATGAGGCTCATGAGAGCCATGTGTACTGTAATTAACACAACAGAAGCAGAAATGTAAAACCAGAAATGTTTAGAGGCTCTAAAATACAAGGGCAGGCACGTCGAAGGTTTTGGACAGCTGTGGGTCCTGATGGAAGTGTTGGCTGGGGAAATCTGATCTGGTTGCAACCTGGAGGGAGGAGACTGTGGAGGCCAGGAGGAGTGAACAGAGCATGTAAGCCAGGGAGAAGGGAACAGAACAAAGGACAGAGGCAGGAGCATGCCTGTGGGAGAGCTGACAGGATTGATGACTCTCTGCATGACACCGTCCCTTGTCACCATCCACCTCACCATCGTGCACACATCCTGGACAGATGCCAGGTTCTGGCTGAGCAAGTCAGGGCCCCGGGGATCTGGCTCAGATACCTTGATTGGCAAACACAAACAAGCAGAACAGAGAAATGTTTCATAATAACAACAACAATCGAGATTTATCTGACACCCACCCAGATTCAAGTCTTTACACACTTCTCTTTACTCTTCCCAGGAAACTTTCAAGATAATGTATCTTAATCTTCATACAGTGAGGGATAATGTCGTTATCCTCAGACCTAGAACCAACCCTCATGCAAACTGCGCACTCAGTAAATATTTGTGGAGTGAGTGATGAACAGTAAAGAAACCAAGGATCAGAGGGGAAGTGACCTGGCCTTAAATGTTAGAACTAGAATTCAGATCCAGGACTGTCTGATCCTATTCTGCTACACAGCCAGTTTTCTTTGCTTTGTGAAGGAGAAGACTTTGAAGGAGTTTTGGGTGGCTGAGAGGGCCCTAAATTCTACCACCTGAGCACTGAGAGATTTGTTCAGAAAGGATCTTCTAAGGGACGAAATGGACAAACTGAAATATTCTCTTGAAATCCCCTACCCATTACACCTTAGAATGCTGAAGTAACCAGTGGAATTAACAAGTGTCAGCGGGGTCCCCGTGAGCGCATACTAAGCTAGGTCATCAGACTAGAGGGTTCAGGGAACCCTGAGTGGTTATTTGACCCGTACTTAGATTAGTGCCTTTGGGGCTCAGAGGCCCTGCCTCCTTCTTCCCTCAGCCTCAACAACAGAGACCAAGAACATCAGCATTTCTGGGACCAAAAAAAAAAAAAAAACCCAAAAACACTGACCTTGGCCTTGACTTGGCAGTAATGGTCCCTTATTTCATAAAGCACTTCCCAGGGGAGCCCACTTGACCCTTTCACAGGCATCGACCCCATCTCTCCCCACACTCCACTCCCCGTAGAGAAGGGCAGAGCACTCATCTTGAGCAGGGCTCAAGAGGTTAAAAGCCAGCCAGGATCTCATCCCTGCTATGCAGCAAAGCAGAGTATAGGTCTTCTGTTGTCCAACTTCTCCACCTTTTTCTGGAGAAAACTTGGAAAACAGACACACACAAAAACAGCTAGGGGGGAAATAAAAATCATTTATCATCCCACTCACAAGATATCACCATAGATAATATCTTGATTATTTATTCCCTTCCAGATTTTTTGCAACTTCTTTTATAAGAATGGGACCTTACTATACGTACATATATTTGTAACTTTTTTTTTCACACTTCATTTTGATTTCATGACCCTCATCTCTTGTCTTACGGCACAGATGGTTCATTGTTTCCTTATCATTTCCTACCAGTAATAGTGCCTGTGACTGACAACACTGAAGCTGTGATCATCCGAGCAATGTACAACATGCACCCAGTAGGCTTCTGGAAAGATGTAGACAAGAATTGTACAAACAGTGTCATGTACGAACTGAAGAACCCACGCATGAAATGGTTCAAGACAAGATGGGTATCTCCTGGGGACATGGACCTATCCTCAGTCCAGCTACAGTAAGAACCTGTCCATGTATCATTCGCTTTGGGCTTTTGCAATTTCATATTGGGTTTCTGTAGTTTTATACTGACCTTGGAGGACTCATAATACAACCCCGATGTGACGTGGAGGATTCAGTAGCTGCACTCCTTTTCCACCTCCCCATTCTTTGACTACTTTTATCTATAGGAGTTTCTACACTATACATGTGCACACACGCACACATACCACGTATGCTCTGCACCAAGAGAAAGAACTGGTGTTAAATAAAACCAGAACCAGACAGTTGCTAAAGCAAGATGAGTGAATGAACCAATGAATGAATGAATAAAAACAGATTTTATTCAGGACTATTGCAATTAAGACAAGAGACCTCAGTATAGAACAAGTCTCAATGCTGAATGCAACATGGGTAAGTGGGGATTTATAGCCAGGGAACAGGGTAGGAGTGTCAATGGATAGGAAAACACTAAAAGGAAACATCAAACCCTGTAAGGGGGACTCTCGCCAAACTGACCTAACAGGATTCTTGCTGAAGACAGGCCAGGGTGATCCCAAAGTAGACGATGAGAAACTCAATCAGATAATAAAAGTGATCAGCTATCGAGGGTGGGAGGTTCGTGTTATACTGACTTAACAGGATTCTGGCTAAAACTGGATTTTCCAAGGAAGTACACAGATGGGCCTAGGAGAACGTTCCAGACTCCAACTAAACTTTGGTCAAGCAGAGAATCCTTGTCACTGGCACCCTGTTTGTTTCAAATTCTCTTTACCCCTTCCCACCCCAACCCAACTCACTCCTGCTAGTCTGGGGCAGACAGTACTCCAGAGCCAGGCAGGGCAAACAGCAGTGACAAACAA